TATGTACAAGAAAATCTTTAATGACAATGACATATCCATTAAACGAAAAATATCAATTAATATAAATTTTAGATAAGATATTATTTTAAATTAAATAATATAATGTAGTTTATGAATGATATATTTTCACATATTTATTAAAAACAAAACAGTTTATTTAACAAATGTGTTAATAATTTTTGTTGAGTAAAAAATTTTAATTTCTTCGCAGATCTGTCAGCTTCTCTTATTTTACTATAAGATTCTTTTTTTTCTTTATTTGATTCTTGAATCTTATATAGGTACGCGTTCGGATAAAGCAAAAAATGACTTCCGACGAGATTGTAACTTGCGAAATGAGTTTGTACTTTTGATCAATCGCGGGGAGACGCGATCGCGAAGAAGCGCATCAACGGGAGTCGTAAATTCCCGTTACGATTATAATAATCGACACCACGAACAGATTGATTCCCTTATTTCTTTTGGGATAACAGGAGTGATTGATGTGGTATAATATTGCGATTAACAGGTTATAAATTTTATATTTCCAACAACTTATTACAATGAAGACTTACACCGTTACGTGTGATATAAATGTCATAGACGATTATTTGACGGATGAAGATCCGATAGAGATACACTGAATGTTTTGTCGTAGTAGAGCAAGGCCCTTACAGTTGAATGTAGTAATGTAGTAGAACAAGTAGAACTCTCCTGGTGTAGAATAAGTAGAAATTGATGTGACTGCTCTGTAGTTATGAGAACAAGTGAAGTTCGTTCTTGTGTGATTACTGAGGAAAGCTCGGAGTGGGCGTCTTTGTTGTATGAAGAAGGCGGATTTGTAGCTCACATTTTTCGTTAGGAGAGTAAGGGTAACGATCTGCGATGGTTATGACCATTGGTTATGACCAACGTTAGAAATGAAGATAGGAGGAAGATGCCTCCTACCAATGTGGCTCATGGGCGACATTGTTTATGGGAAAACCCAACTTTTTCGTTAGACAACTATCCGCTTCACAGTTCTGCCCGAGCAGTCGAGCTATGCGGACGTGAAAACTAATGCCTCCGTAAGTGCGACAAGAGTGAAAGAAGGGACGAGCAACAGAACCAATCGAGGATGGTAAACACTCAAATATATATATAAACAATAATACAAATAATACAAAAAGTCGACAAAAAGAGCAATACCAACAAGGATCTACTACAACATAACGAAAACTGGAAGACTGTAACTCCCAGCAAAAAAAGAAAAATAAATACAAACAAAAATGATAGGAGGACTACAGAAACAGAAAGACAACAATGGCTACAAGAAATTCCTACACAAAACTCCTTCAGCTCACTGACAGAAGAGATAGACTCAGACCCTACAGAAAAACCAAGAACACACACCCCCAAGCCACCACCAATCTACATAGATGCTAAAATAATAGACCCCTTCATTGAACTGCTAAACAGCACGGCAGGAAAAAAAATTACACCATTAAACAGCTCAAACTGGATCAGGTAAAAGTACAAACTAATAACCCAGAAACCTATAGGAATGTAACAAAAGCGCTAAAGGAAAAAACGCTGGGTATCATACTTACCAACCCAAATCTGACAAAAGCTACAAAGCAGTAACCAGAGGTATACACCCTAAAACAAATACAAACAAAATATGCGAGGAATTGGCCAAGATCGGACACCAGGTAAGAACGATCAACAATCTAACCAGATTTGATACTAAGCAAACACTACCGTTATTTGTAATAGAGCTTGAACCAAAAAGTAACAACAAAGAAATATTTGAAATTAAAAAAATCTTAATGCATGCGGTGTCAACAATATGGACACACAAAAAACTACTGCAACAGAAACCCGGCGTGTGTCAAATGCGCAGGAAGCACCTAACAGTGAACTTCCCACACACGGGAAAAATAAACGACGTAAAATGTCACAATTGCGGTGGAAATCACCCAGCCAGCTACAAAGGCTGCGTAGTCAGAAAACAACTACAAAGCAAACGTTTCCCGCCGATTCGAAACAGGACACACAACAATTTCCATACGCAACAGGACAACACAGAATCTATGTCAACACCAAACACACAGTATGTAATGAACAATAACCACACTAACACCAACACCGTTAGAAGCCGAAGCTACGCGCAAGTAGTCAACC